AGAGAGAGAGAGAGAGAGAGAGAGGAGATTGGTATGTTGGTGTTAACACAGACTTTCTGTACATAGATATGCCAGGGATGTTGGACAGAGGTGTAGCCAGGATCCTCACTCTATGAACTCTTAAACCTGGATGTTGTTGATGCTATAATTTATGTATTAGAGTTAAAGCAGTTGAAATAATACTTTTGCCTGTTGCTAGCTGCAAGGGGAATTGGGAATTGGCAAGCACAGACAGACAGGAACCACAAAATTGTTGCCAAGCACCACCCAATTAATCCAGTAAAATGTATTTGTATCTAAAAAGTATAAGACAGTATATGAGGGACTATAGAAGGATAATAATTTATATTAGCTAAGATGTAGACATTCTACCAGAATATAGAATCTATAGGGGAGCTAAGGATAACAAAGTAGCCTAGGGCCATTATTGAGTGGTACAAGTTTTATAAAAGTTGAGAGGAGTAGGTACAGATCCCTTGGAGCTTGAGTGGTCATGGTAGATAGGTCTTTTCATCTGGGATTTTAAAATTATTTATAGACACTTGGCACTGAAGGCAGGTTGAACTAAAATAACTACCAAATGTGGCTAGTGTGAATTTAAGAATTCTACCAAATTCTCAGGGACTTCATGCATGTTACATATGCATGGCAAAATTACAACTAGAAACCAAAACTCTTATACCGACATTTTGCATAGCATTCCTCTGACAATTATTGTGTATTAAAGTTTCGTTAACCAAAAGGAAACATTTTTTCTCCCAGAGTTAATAGAACTTTTTTTTAAACAAAAAAGTTTTGCTTCTATAGGGCAAAAAATTTTAAGTTTGTACTGGGTTGCTGTGATTGTAGAACTAACAAAGTAATAGTTTCAGACTTTCTCAGAGCTTTTCTTCTATAGCCAATTTTACATTTGTATATACTCAGCTGTCTAGTAAATATATCCCATCACACAGACAATTTAATTTAATGAACTAATGTAAATTTGCCCTATCACTAGAGAAAGATTAAATAAGTGGTTTGTTGGTATCATACCTTTTCTCAAAGCATGAAGGATGGCATTACTTTTATGGATTAGTCCATTGGTGGTATTTGTACTAAAGTCTATGAGTGAAGAATACCAGGTAGATAAGCAGATAATTTTAATTTCTAGATTTCATACCCTGGTCCTTACTATTTAAATTGCCATCAGGTTGTTAACCTCAATCCCTACCTGAAATAGACACTTAAGCAGTGAGATCCTGCTTTTACTGAATTATGGAGAAATGCCCTTTCTGCAGAATATCCATCCAGCTCAGAGAACTGGAATTTTACCACCCCACCCCTTTCTCCCACTTAATAACATTGAGCAATGGGTCTTTGGTCAACCAGAATAACTGTGGGATCACTCAATGTTAACATTCTTGAAAAGTTGGGTTTAATCCAGACATCTGAATTTCTCTGAAACAATTTAAGCGTTCTGTAACTCATGGATTTTTACCAGAAGTGGGGATTGAGGAAAGGAGTGGTTGTGGTGGTAAGAATTTAGAGCTTTCAAGGAAATTTTTGAATGGGTGAAATAAACCGACTCCTAAGACTCAACATTGTTATTAATATCAAGCTTACAGCATTAATCTTTTCTTCTTATAAATTACTGGAACAATTCATGAAAATAAGTTTGCAGAAGACAATTACTGGTGACATACTACAGAGGGATGGTAGTTACTTGATTTTTGTTATTGTGGTCCTTTGATTCTGTATCTAACATGGGTGCAGTCCAATAGAAATATAGTATAAGCCATAAATGTAATTTTAAATTTTCAGCTAGAATAGGTGAAATTAATTTTAATGTATTTTAATCTAATACATAACAAAATGGTATTTTTTCAATATAAAATGTAACACTTGTCCTAATCTTAAATTCACACTAGCCACATTTGAAGTGCTTAGTGGTCACATGTGCCTAATGGCTGCTATGCAGTGCAAGACCAGACTTTTTTTTTTTTTTTAAGAAAAAATATTAGTACTCTTTGTGGGGGAGGGACAGAATCTTAGAGAGAGAAAAGCACAGATCATTTGAGAAATGGAAGTTAGGGGGATGTGTTTTTCACAATCATTGGTTTACCTTTTTTTTTTTTTTTTTTTGCAGTTTTTTGGGCCAGGGCCAGGTTTGAACCCGCTACCTCCAGTATATGGGGCTGGCGCCCTACTATTTGAGTTACAGGTGCCACCCAGTTGGTTTACCTTTTTGATCACCTGGTAAAAGCTCTTATAGCTAAGTCCTTAATTTATATCATTTTTGTTTAACATGTTATCTATTAATGTGTAGCTTGTGGAAGGTGCTGAAGAAAGGAGAAGGGTCATTAGCTTTCTATCATTTGACTTCAGTTTGGTTGAAAAGAGAAAGATGCTTCAGAAATGAACTGCCCTAATGTAGTTCTTTAAAAACCATGTATGAGGCTCGGCGCCTATAGCTCAACCAGCTAAGGTGCCAGCCACGTACACCTAAGGTGGTGGGTTCGAATCCCCAGCCCGGACCCGCCAAACAACAATGACGGCTGCAACCAAAAAATAGCCGGGCGTTGTGGCGGGCGCCTGTGGTCCCAGCTACTTGGGAGGCGGAGGCAGGAGACTTGCTTGAGCCTAGGAGTTGGAGGTTGCTGTGAGCAGTGAAGCCACGGCACTCTACCCAGGGGGGACAGCTTGAGGCTCTGTCTCAAAAAAAAAAAAAAGAAAAAACCATGTATGAAAAGTTATTTTGTACTGTTTCTTTTCACTTCTTCCCCCATAAAATGTCCTTCATCTTGGGGGATATCCCTTGTTTCTACTAGAACGGTTTTATATGTATTATGAATTTAGATAAATCTAGCACAGTGAGTTTTGCTATTTGTTTTGTTTTGTTGTTAGTGCCTGTACTCATAAAACAAGAATCGTTTTATTAAAGTTTCTAATAGCCAGGAGTTGGTTATGTGGGTACAAAGAGTATATTTTTTTAAAATAGAAATTATTTAAAGTGCAGATTTTTACTTGCCCCCTGCAGAGAGATGAAGATGACTAGGAAGGACTATTGGCTTTGTCCATCAGGTGGTCCTTGGGGACCCTTT